CGAACAAATGTTCTTCATAAAAACGCTTTATAATGCATTTATACAAATTAAATGAGACATATTATTGTGTATTTCTTTAAGTTAACATTAATAGAAATTTTTAAATATTATTTCTACGATGATATAATAAAATATGTCTAGTGGCTGTAATGCCAGTGTACTCGGTAAAGTGATTCTAAAAAAGAACACACCTACACCCTAAATATTTTGTGTTGGTATAATGTGACGTCACAGGCTATGACGCCGATGACGTGAATCGTTATATAAATTAGATGAAGTGTATATATATATATATATATATATATTACATATATATATATATATATATATATATATATATATATATATATATATATATATATATATGAAACCTGGAGCTAAGATTAATATTATTACTAAAATTAATATCAAACTCACCAGTCTTCCGGGTTGAACCGCGTCGATATCCATTTTGCCGAGCTTTCAGCATCCTCTCTGATGCCTTCCTCAGGGCTTTCGAGGTCTCAGTCTCCCGAGCCCCCAGACACTACTACACTGTTCACTGATCACTACGCTGTCACTACTGTAGTCTTGGCAAAATGGATATCGACGAGGTTCAACCCGGAAGACTGGTGAGTTCGATATTAATTTTAGGAATAATATTAATCTTAGCTCTATATATATATATATATATATATATATATATATATATATATATATATATATATAAGGATCACTCAGACGAGTGGTGGGTTCTTATATCGGTCTCAAGCTGGAGAAATAAAAAGACAAAGTTGATAGGCTACTTTATCTATTTTGAAGACGTTTCGCTTTAGTATTCTGAAAGCATCATCAGTTCATCTAAAAGTACAATATGAGAACCACACAAACATGGAAAAGATGTTACAAGTGTTACCTTAAAAAGACATGTAGCAATCAATGATATTAAAAAGTATGTGAGTAAGCTCAAGTAAATGGACATTATACGGTAATATTGTATAAACAATCAATTAACTAACAACATTTAGCAATTTATTAAAAATTAGCACAGCAAACGAACATGTGGTCTAATATACATGTAATATTTTTTTATTATAACATTAAGTAGTGAATGAAAAACTAAGAATATAGATTCACTTCCAACTATATGAGCAATATTTATGGTTTGATTTTAACCTTTCAAATCTTTCTAGTAATCTTTCCTAGTAACAAAGAAATCAGTGCCTATTGTGAAATCTCCGTTCTGTCTTCTCAGAAAAACAGAAGAGTTGTTTTTCGAAGAAAGTATAATTCCTGTCGAGAGAGGATGATTATGTTACAAAAGTGACTCCCAAATACCCCCACTCTGTTTTCATCTTTAGATTGCCTAAGTTCAGAATTCAAATTCATTTTCGAGTTGGTTCCAGTGGCAAGTGGTTTGTCTCCATCACACGGCGGTAAGTGTATTTTCAATTCACCCTTATGTATATAAAATATCTTTACACAGTGAATCTTATATTAACTATTTTCTCTTTTGTACACCAGACGTGTTCCAATTCGAAGGAACGAGGTCATTTCTGTTTGCCGAATATTCATTAGCCAATATTCATTAGCTAATATTCATTAGCTAATATTCATTAGCCAATATTTATTAGCCTTTATTCGTTATTCAATATTCAGTATTCATTATTCATCGTTCATCGTTCATCGTACATCTCTACCACCACTAAAGCCACTATCTGTGGCCCACGACTAATTGTGAGTAATAAATCTCATTGACTAAAAACTTTGATACCTAAATCGTAAGAAGATTATTTATAACTTTTAAGTTAGTATCCTTGCTGTTTATGGTTAAATGGAATGAACTATGATTAGAATAAACCTACGATATAATATATGTATAAATTACGGACGATTTCTTTTATATTAATGTAGGGTATATTTATGTTGAATTTCATATATAGATTTGAGTTGATCACATTCAATAAAAAATTTTAGTAAATGTTTAAGTATTCTCAAAGCATAATAATATTTTATTTGAGGAATATTGACAATCAAAATATTCCTTGTTTTTTTTCCTATTCTTGAGAATACTACATTATGCAGACTGATTTTCCAAAAAAGCTAATTTTTGTTTTATTTGATTATAAATTAATCAATCACTTATCTCGTTCCTATTAACTGTGCTGTAAAAATTGTTATAGTGTATTTTCTTTTACTAATATACCTCAGTATAGTTTTATTGACGAACTATTTGATTTGACTAACTTACTAAACTTACTAACTGACTAACTTACTAAATGAGCAGTAAGTAAATGAGCTATACTTACTGTTAACGAACGTGCTCATATATATTTACATTTAAACAAGCTTATACATTATCAAAAAAGGTTTATTTTAATATCAAATTTATTTATGTGTGAAATCTTTTAAGTTCTTTACTCCTGATGAAGCTTTTAAATAAAGAGCGAAATATTGAGTTTAAGAAAAAACAAAGATTTTTATTTAATATAGACCACATACCCGATATTTCCAACATACTGATAAATTGTTTTTTGGTCAAAATAATCACGTTACATATATATATATATATATATATATATATATATATATATATATATATATATATATATATATATATATATATATATATACTCCCTACTTCACTACTGTACTCAAGAAGTTGATTTCCAGTTCCCCTTCATTTACCAATATGTAGACGACCTCATATGTGCAGTCCCTGCAGACAAAATTAACTACACTCTTGACATTTTCAACTCATATAACACTCACCTACAATTCACTGTTGAAACAGAAGAAAATAATAGTGTTCCATTCCTCGACACCTATGTAACCAGACATGAGGACAACACAGTAAGGTTGGATTGGTACAGAAAGAAAACATTCTCAGGTAGATATGTGCCTTTTCACTCGTATCATCCAGACGAGCAGAAGATTAACATCATCAAAGGTCTGAAAAACAGAATAAAAAGAATTTGTTACCCTTCTAACTACAATAAGAACATCAAGTTATTGTATGAGATTCTTAGAAAAAATCACTACCCTAAGATGCTTCTTAATGCTAAGAAACTGCTATTCCAAGATATGCCAACAGTTAGAACACACCAAAGACAAACATTAGAAGGAGAAACAGTAGAAGTTTTCTATGGGGGATTGCCTTTCTATGGGAGAGGTTTATCACCACAGATCACAAACCTTTTCAGACAGTTCAACATAGTGATAGCAAATTCAGTGTACAAAAGATTAGGGACATACTTTACTCACCTGACAGAAAGAGTTCAAAAACTGGATAACTTCAATGTAGTGTATTCTATTCCATGTGGTTCTTGTTCAGAAATGTATGTCGGTCAAACCAGCCAGAAACTGTCAAAAAGAATAGCTTTGCACAAGAGTGATGTAGTGAGGAAGCCCACCTGTACAGCCTTTAGCCAACATATTAAGAATACTGGACACATTGCTAACTATGAAAATGTGCAAGTACTAAAGAGGGTTGACAACCAATTTAAGAGAAACTTCATAGAAATGTGCTACATCCATAACTGCAGCTCTTCTATGAACTGTAAGAAAGATGTTGAAAACTTAAGTTGTATTTATTCCTTTCTACTTCAACAGGACTTGACAAGATGTAACAAACTGTAGAATGTAGGGAACTTATCATAACATGCATAGATTACCTACCTGTACTTGAGAAAAGACTTCATTTCCCTGCTGATTATGTTTCCTTGGGTTCTTTCTTTCCATATCCATGAGGTGCAAACGTGAAAATTATAACCTCAGAAATATGTCATCAAAAAAGAAGAATAATTCTTCTTTTCTACCTTTAACATGAAGTTGCAGTTTTTGTAGGTTTTAAATTTTAGATTTTTTGTTGTGTTTGTATTTGAAATAATACCCTGTTGTGCTGTAATGTTTTTATTCAAAGTTTTAAATGTATTTTTTAATATTTTTAACATGTTTGTGACAGTGTTCTTCACCACTAGGACCAACTGAACATTTTCAATGTAGGTTTTAAATGTTGATTTCCACCACTTGTACTAAAATAGGTTTTCCATTTAGGTGCTGATGAAGGTGACAACATATCACCGAAAATTTCACATTTAGAATAAAGTTCTACAACAAACTGGCTTATACCATCTCTAGTTGATCCTTGTTTTGACGCTTTCCCGAAAGTTACCCTCCAAAGAATTGTATTCTTAGCGTCGTTATACACACTCTATATATATATATATATATATATATATATATATATATATATATATATATATGTATATATATAAATATATATATATATATATATATATATATATATATATATATATATATATATATATATATATTATATATGCCACCCAATTAAAAGAATGAGTGAAAATACAAATATTAAAATAAGTGCAAAAAGGGCATTTTAAAGAAGATATGAGTTTTTGAGTTTTGGGTGTATCGTAGTTATTGCGAATTTTATGGGTGCAGCGAATCATCAATGGTGTTAAGGCAGACAAAGAAGAGAGGAAAGTTATACTGACTTAAAATGTCATACTCTACATGAGACAAGGAAACATAAGCAAAATGAGCTATATCGGAAAGAGAAGACACTTCTGGTTAAAAAATTTGGACGAATGGGTCGTTATGACCAATAGCCATGTGCTTAGAATAGTAGTATCAAAAATGGACATAAATTTATTGATTGTCAATCTTCGTACCTATTAAAGACTATATTTTTAAGAATAAGCTGTTTTATTTTTTATAGAAATTTATCAGTACTTAAGAATAATAGTAGAAAAGAAAAATAATAATAATTTGGAATAAAATGAAAACTATACAAAGAAACCCACATGAAATCTGGTAAATGTATTTTCTTCATGTTATGTTTATGGCACTATGTTGACCTACAACTAATCGTCGAATGATGGAAGCAGTCAATTTCTCAGTTTTTTAAGTTTACATTAATACAAGGATTTTAAATTTGATAGTGCAATTTTTATATTGTAATTTATATATTGTTACAATAATTAATTATTTAGGTTTAACAGCATATTAGGCTTGGAAGCAAACGGTATGTTCAATGCCGTTGAACAATATTTCACAAAGTGGGGAGACGGAGGAAACACGGAGGGAAAACCGAGCGTGATAGATGGTCAAGGGTCAAATTTTTACAGTGCCGAGGAAAACCACTGATTTCTCTGTTTCCCGTGCGGTAATTAAAACAAATGGCGGTGGGACTGTAAACGTCTAAAAAGTCGGTTATGTAGGAAACTGCACCCGGGGATGATTCAATGTTTTCGGAAATACGGACGGTCTTGAAATGTGATTTACCGCCTTGGTTATTTTCGTGTTATTATGTAAGAGTCTCTGTTTTGCGGTTCGGATTACAATCGTGAAAATACTTTTTTATTTTCGCGGATATACAAAGGCAGATAATAAACACTAAATTGGGAAAGTATGAGCTTTTTTACAAAGCTAAGTTACGACTATGTTTGAAGTATATTCTATAAAATTTTATCATAAAATTTTTTTTATTCGACCATAAACAATATTTTCTGGCAATCATTTTGTTATTAAGCTTTATGTACAAAGTTGTGTTCCCAAAACGATATAATAAAATAAAAGTAAAAGCAGTTAGACAAGAAAAAGCCATTAGGTAATTACAAAGTCTAAATTGACACAAATTTAAGTATTATAGTTTTGGGATATACATATTTTCTATTGATTTACCACTTTTTGTTCTCTTTTATCTCTAAAAAGGAAAGTAGACGAATATGTAACATTTGCAGAGAATCTTAGATATACATGGATTAAAACAATTCCCAATCCATATCACATTTTTTTCTTGATGTCGTATTTCGAATAAGACAGGATAAACAAGAATATTTGCTGGGTGTATGGGAAAAGGGATATATGTTGAAAATTGCACAAAATGAGTGTTCCGTCTCATTATAATTTAGTTCATTTTATTTTTCGATTTTTTTTATTTAGTGAATCTAAAGTTAGTTATAATTATTAAAATTTTGGGTAAATTTTAGTTTCCAGAAATCTATTAAAAGATTAAAATATTTATTAGTTCTACATATTTCTGGGGACAATTTGTCCATTATAATCCTTCCATTTAGAAAGTATGTACACGGCAAATCCATCGGCTATTGTTGTCGCATCAGCTGCGTCTGTATATGGTTCTTATAAGGACAATATGAATGATTTTGTAATTTACGTGTTTACCCCAAGGTAAAGTTATATAGTTTTTAGTAACTCCCTCCCCTCTACTAGGGGTTTCTGTTGGGCATTTGGAACATATTTTTAGTAGTAACAAACGAAACTCAGTTCTGTAAACATGACATAGTAAGCAATAAATAATTCTATGAAAATTGTCGTTGTATATTATTTTAATTTAATAAAACATTCGTGCTTGAACGTGTATATTAGAAGTTTAGTACAATCAATCGTTTTAGAAGACACTAGTAATTATTTGAAAATTAGTTATAATTGTGTTTATAAGGGTGTTGTGAAAGCTTAGTGCATTCATATCGAAGTGGATGAAGGGGGGAAACCCCCTCCTCTCCCGGATCCTCCAGAAAACTTAGATCTAGGAAATAATCAGATAAGTGGTTCAAATAATTTAAATTTAATTATAGATTCTTCTGCATTGAATCGGAATATTAAAGATAGAAAAAAATAAAAAACAAATTGTATTAAAGGATGAGATAGTTGAGGCTAGTTCTAATCCGGAATCAAGTTTTTCCGTTAAAAATAATAATTATGAATCGAACAAAAAAGTAATAACATTTCTTTATCAGTCTACTGATATAGGCCCGTTTCAGATTTACATTGGAGACAAACGCAATAAAAATTGGAGAAATAATTTTAACTTTACATCCGGAATTAGATAAAAAAATAAAACAAATTCAATCGATAGGGAGAAATTGAATTCGGGTTTTTTGTAAGGCTTATTTGAGCGCTAATATATTGTTAAAATCTCACATTTTAGAAAATAAAAACTTGTCTGCATATATTTCCAAATTTTTAATATTTCGATTAGGAATTATTAGATTCATTGATAAAGATTTACTAGTTGAATATTTAAAAAATAAAATTAGGACCTATGATTTTCATTGTAAATTTGAAGTGGAATTTGTTAAAAGAATGAACAGAAAAGTAAAAAACTAAAATAACGAAACAGAATTAATACCTACAAGTACTATTTTGGTTTCCTTTAAAAGTCAAACTTTACCTAAGTATATAGAAATTAATAAAGTTCTTTACGAGGTAGAAGTTTATAAACAAAGAGTTGTAATGTGTAATAATTGTTACCGCTGTGGACGTATTAGTATACAATGTCGAAGCAAAATAAGATGTCTTAAATGCTGTCAGAGTCATGACACAGTTACCTAATCAGACGAATTTACAGTAAAGTGTTTTTCTTGTAATGGAAACCATTTTACTAACGATTTTAATGTATGCCCGGAGTACAACAGATAAGAACAAATTAAACAAATGATGTCACAAACAAATTGTTCCTTCAAGGATGCTAGTAGAAGTATTCCAAAAAAAGTTATGCAGATATTGTATCTAAACATTTACCTTCAAAAGCAGATGATAATAAAATAGTTAATTTTAATTTACAACAAAATTCTTCATTAGAGTCAGTTAATGTTCATGTAGCTTCAACATCGTCCAAGCCCTTTTTACATATATCACACCAATCCAATACGCGATCCATTTCTCAAATATCGAACTCCCAGTCATACTATCAAGCCCAATTAAATATCTTAACAAAAAAAGTAAAAGATCTTATCCTTGATCTCCCGATCCTACATTGTTAGAGCATCAATCCATTATTAGTTCAGTTAATCTTCCTTTTAAGAAAGGGGAAATTTTGAGTTCAGAACAATATCAGTCCAATATTCAAACTGAAAATAAATCAGAAAATGTCATAAGAGAAACCGAAAATAATGAAATTGCAAATGTCATTTTTCAGATAGTTTTATCAACCATAAATACAATAAAGAACACAAATAAATTAGACATACAAAAAAACGAAATTACAAATATTATTAAAACTAGTTTAAATAACCTTTTTGAACATGGATCATATAAATCTATATCAATGGAACCTTAAATCGGCAAATTCAAATAAAGAAAATTCACAATATTTGTTAAATGATCTTAACATCGATATAGCTTGCTTGTCAGAAACTAATTTACATCCAATAAATATTTTAATCTTCCAGGTTACAACATTGTGAGGGATGACCGTTTAGACCGCAGTGGCGGGGGAACGACCATCCTTATTAAATCAAAACTTTTGTATACAGAATTACCTATATCTGTTTTACTACCTAATTGTAATCAATCATCCATTCTTTTAAAATGTAATGATAAAAAAAAATATTACCATTGTATCGCTTTACGTTCCACCAAAAACTAAAATTTCGTTGCATATTTGGGATCAATTCTTTAGTTCATTTAATCCACCTGTAATTTTTACGGGAGATTTTAATTCACATAATATTGCCTGAGGTGGGCCAAACACAGACCACTATGGCATAACACTTATGAAAGCTCTTGACAGAAATAATCTTGTATATCTCAACGATGGATCACCTACATTCATAGGAAATTATTTGCAATCTCATTCTGCTATCGATCTGACAATTTGTTCTCCTTGTATAAAACATTTACTATATTGGCACACAATAAAAGATCTTTATGGGTCTGATCATCTACCATGCATTACACAAATATATATGGCAACCAAAGTTAATAAATTACTATCTTGTAGAAAATGGAATATTAAAAAGCAAACTGGGATATATATTGAATGGAGTTTCAAGAACGGTTCAATAAAACGGAAGTTGGTGATTACAATTATTTTATAAGAATAGTTGAAAATGCAGCAAACCTTTCTATACCTAAATTTAAATCAAATCAAAGTTCAAATAAAAATATACAATGGTGGAATGAAAAATGTCAATTTCTGGTACAGAAACAAGAAGAAAAATTATTGTAAATCTCTCAACAGATCAGTACCTCTTAAGAATATATGGAAAAAGGTAAATAATTTTAAAAGTCGAAAATATTCAAATCAAAATCAATCAGATCATGATGAATGGCTTGCTGAATTTCACAGCAATTTAACCCCTCCATATGTATCCCCTGACCCAACTTTTCTTGATTGTGTAGATATAAGAGAACATAGTATTAGTGGACATTATCTCACCAAACAGTTTTCACTTCAAGAATTAGAAATGGCACTCAAAAAATCTGCCAATACAGCTCCAGGTTCTGATAATATACATTATCATATGTTGTTCAATCTTCCTAGATCAGGAAAAATTTTGCTTCTAAATCTACTAAATGATATTTGGTTAAATAAAGTAGATATACCTTCATAATGGAAAAATTACATTTTAGTTCCCATACTTAAGCCAGGAAAACCAAAAAATCATGCATCATCATATAGGGCTATTTCTTTAGCATCATGTGTTCTAAAAACATACGAACGAATGATACAATCATGATACAATCAAGACTAGATTTTTTTTGGAATCTAATAATCTTATTTATAGTTCTCAATTCGGATTTCAAAAAAAATCGACATATGAAAATCTGGCCAATTTTGTTACAGATATTCAATTATCACTCTCCAATGACCAGTCAACATCAGCTTTATTTTTAGAAATAAAAGGGGCATATGACAACGTGAAATTAGACATATTATATAAAAAAATGTGTCAAATGGGAATTCCCCAAAGTCTATCTAAACACCTATATACTATATACAGTAATAGAAATTTATTTTTCAGAGAAAACCACTTATTCTCTGAATGCAGACAAACATCTATGGGTTTGCCACAAGGTGGTATATTAAGTCCTATACTTTATATTATTTACTCAAATCATCTAGTTGTTGACATTCCACATAATATATGTATTTTGCAATATGCTGATGATATTGTTATTTACACTCACCATAAATCCATCGAGATTTGTGGCCACAAACAACTCAATTATGCAATAAGAAATTTAAATAATTGGATTTTCAACAACGGCTTATTAATTTCCGAGGAAAAATCAGTATTAGTTACTTTTACAAGAAAAAGATATCGGTGTCCTCAACAAATAAAATTATCAAAATATTTGTTTCCTTACAAATATTCCACTAAATTTTTAGCAGTAATTTT